CACAAGCCATTAACCATCAAAGCCAGCATAATGCTGGGAGGGTGGCACAAAAAACACAATCATAAGAATATGCACATAAACTTATATTTTAAGTGTGTAGCCAAACAGGGGGTTTCAACTGGATTTTTATTATAATTCTAACAAGAAAAGGGAAACAAGGAACCTCCTGTCAGGCATATTCCTCCAAGAGTTCACAGCTGGTGACTCCATGACTCAGGACTTTTCAGCTCCTAACCACCACTACAAATGCAGAGCACTATGCTTCAGGTTAATTCAGTTGAACCTAATGAAACTTAGGTTTCTGCTAAGGAAAAAAAAAAAAAAAGAGAAATTTTTTCCACAAGCAGAACTTCACCTTTCTATTTAATGTCCTCTCACCTACATGCTTCAAATCCCCATGGTCATTTCACTTATAGAAACACATCTCCTAAGGAAAGAGGAAAGCAAGATCCCCAGGGGGCTGGAATTCTGTCTCTTGTGATCTTCTGTTTGTGAATTATTAAACCTTGCCTGTCACTTTTGATGACGTCCTAGCTCATTACAAGAGGAAGCCAGTGAAATGTAGAGCAGCCATTATTCTCTCCTAGCAACAAAGGCAGCATAAATAGCACGTGCTGTGCTTAACCCAGACCAGGTAACAAAACTCAAAGTTCCCTAAAAACAAGTGCATCACACTTGACAAGATGAATTGTACTTGTGTAATAGTATTTCAAACCAAAAATAGGGAAAGGAACATGAAATTTTCTGAACTGACACTCTAGAACTGACTATAGACTTTTATTCCCAGTCCAGATTTTTTTTTATTTTAGAAAAATTGAAAAGGAAAGCCATTAAAGAGACAGAAACAGTTAAATGTCATTTTGATCTCAAACTAGGTGACTTGGCAAGATATCACTGCTAGATTTTAGTTCTTGCTCTTTTTGCCTCAGATATCACATAAGAATGCAAAGTCAGAAAGGAATGTAGAAGCACCCAGACTCCTATAGCAAGAACAGTTTAAGAGTTCAAACATCCCACAGAGTGTGTTCTAAAGAGCACTAAGAGTTGGCGTAAATGTTCTTGCAGTGGTCCAAGGCACAATCTCCAGGCATATCAGCAAATCCACTTAGAAGAGAATTCATCCCATGACCCAATTACAACACAGTTTTATTTTGGAGATCACTCAGCTGTGCCTCAGCAACAAAACAAGAGTCTGGAGCCATCCCAGTGCAAGTCTGGTTGCAGAAAGTTTTCACACATACAAAGCCATAATTATGTTAAGTCAGCGCATTTTTCCCTCCTATAAACGCCACACCATGATTAAAAAAAAAAAAGCAGAAGAGAAAAGTAATGGCTCTCTATAAAAAAAATGGGTCACCAGTAACCTAAATTCTAGCTGGTAAGAGATGGGGAAAGAGCTAACTAGAAATTAAAGAGATAATTCAACCAAGGTTCAACTTCAGGATACATCTTTGCAATTGCTGTTACTAAGTGAGTCTCAAATTGTATTCTGAAATTTTGTCACACATTGTTGCCTTTCCTCACTTGCCACTGCTGTCCACATCATAAGAAGTGAGGTGACTCCATTCACATTAACAGCAGCAGCCTCAAATTGCAAAAGGTTTTCAGTACATATGAACCACACTCATAAAATATTTACAAGTTTGTCTCACTTCAGACAGATTTCTTCATTATAATGTTTAGAGCTGAAAAAGGTGAAGCAAACAGAACATTAAGCCAATTCTCATTCATCTAAGGATAAGAGTCACAGAATTCCAAGTCCTGAAATTTAACAAGTGTTGCTTGTTAACTTTAAGATCATTGGTGACTAAATAAAAATACCTAAAGACTAAGAGATGCTGAGAGGCTTTTAAAAGGAATTTTAAACTTACCTGTCTTCTCTGGTTTACAAGTATGGCAAAAATAATTAGCAAAGTATTTTGCCTTTTTTCTCCTCAAAATTATGGTGCATTTACACAAAATACTCAAGTCCAGCAGGCACAGAGATTCCTGACAACCTCAACTACACCCAAGTTTTAAAATGTGGAAAGGGCTTTTGGCCAGACAACAATATAACTTTTAAGAGATGTCTTCAACTTCTCTTAATCTGTGAGCTCCTAATGTTCTGAAAATTGAGATTATTGGCAACAGGCTGTTTTTCTTCATTAACTTCGGGAGACACTGAGGAAATATCCCAGAGTTCACAAACTGAAAGCCACTAACTGATGCATGGCTGGACCCAAGGAAGCATCCAAATGAGGGCAGGACTGCTGTAGCTGACATCCAGCTTTTTAGTCTCTGCAGACTCAGTCAAGATTTTTGCCCCTTGAAAATTCTGTTCCTCTTACATGACATCTGCAAGTCAGAAGCTGAAGGATATTTGGAATGCAGCATGTGGGAAGCTCTAAGCATTCCTGTACACTGTGTGATCAGTGTGCAAAAGGGCCAAGTCCATTGGTCTGCAAGATTCTAAAACACATACTACCATAAGAAACAAATTTCCTTCACAATATTTTAAAAGCTTACAATAAATTAGAATTACTTTTACCTGAATGTTTTTACACTAATAATTTCATGGTAAGTCTCCAAAAGGACTTTCCCAAGTAAGAGAGGTCAGCACTTACCAAGAGCACGAAACAGCAATATCAAGCTTATAATTTTCTAAAGCATTAAGACAGTTGTGCCATGTTTACCTGAAAGCCAAACTGCAAAATCAAGTTGAGAAATTCCAGTTGCAGCCAGTTCCAGTGGAAGAAAGTCTAACACAACACAGTATTTGCAAGTGACAGCATGTAAATGGCCTAAATCCAAGATCTCTGCTGTCTATCCATCATCATGTATCCCACAGCACACTTACAAAACCATATGCATTAATTTTTGACTGGCAATGCTCTACTCTGTCCATCAGATAAAATACTTCCCATATCTTCATGTGTATTTTTTACATTGCTCAACAGTAAAGGCATTCCACCCCTGGGGGAAAAAATGGCAAAAAAAAAATGCTGCCAGCAGTTCTCAGGTACGGCTTTGTTCAACTTTACCTGTAGTCTCTTCATTGCCATGAAGTGCCAGTTATTATGTATCACATCTACCTTTTCTATAAAATCCACTGTTTGGACAACTGACAATTACTTTACCAAACAAGAATTCTAGTAACCAGATTAACAACTTCTGGATAATTTTACTATTTTTTTCTCAGAAAAAGAAGAGCTTTCCTAACAATACAGACATTTGTCTTCCTCAAATTTATTCCAATGCTGATGAACGCTCCAGAAAAATAAACACCTCTAAAAATAACAAGCCTTACATATCTACTTTAAAACTATGTACTTTACTTTAGGTTCATGTATTCTACTTTTCTTACCTTGACCATGGAGACTAAGAAAGCTAAAGAAATGGATGTTTCTTTAATAAACTGGGATGGAAGCAGCTATCCCATGAACTGCCATTATTGTTAGCCTGTTTCTGGGGAGCACCCACAAAAGCACATGAGACAAGTTCCTCAGCAGAAAGAAATCATGCCAATACAACTGTTATCAGAAGAGCAGAATTATTTCCTCTAGCGTCAACTCTGTCAAACCTAAACATCTACTGGGCAGGGAAATTTACATGTATCTGGACACCATTTCCTAAAAAAATTGTTTCCAGAACTGCTACACAACACAAGGCCTTTCAAGCCTGCATAAAAAAGTAATCTAATGTTCCATAGCATATTTGGTGGATCTAAGCAGTTACAGGAGCCTTTCTAATTCCACAGTTGCTTTTCATTCTCCTTAAATTACCAAATGTAACAATGTAATTTAAAAAAATGGTTTTTTAATGTAATTTAAAAAAATACTGTTTCTCTTCTACACTGTGTTCATTATCATTTCACCACCCAAAGTTTAGGTTTCTCTCTTTACTTGCTTTACTTTTTCCTATCCAAACAGAGGCACAAAGATAGATTTTCCTGTTTTTTTAGCAATGACACCAATTCTGCCAAAACCTGTTTTCTCTGCTTGCCAGTACACTCACATTTAATTTCAAAAAATTTCGATTTTAAGTGTCACAATCATAAAGTCTTTCCAAAACCGCTCCTCCATAGTTCGCAGCTGTTGTTCCTATTACATCAGTTGAGTTCTTTTCAGTTATCCCTCCTTTTTTCCTTGCAAAGGCACAACGATACTAAAGAGTGATACTAAATACCCAGAGAGCTTATTTAGGAGGAGCAGAGGGGTGAAGAACACCGCGAAAACGCTTCACAGCAGCGCCCAGAAACCACGAGTGCACCGAGACACCACGAAACCGGTTTAATCTACAAGTTTTCAGACGATGCACACCAAAGTTTTAGAGCGAAGCACATAAAACACACCCGCACATAAAACAGCGGCACGGCTGCCGCCCGCCAGCGGGACGCGGGTGTTACCGGGGCAGCGCCGGCCCGCGTGGCCGCTGCCCTGCGGCTCCGCCCGCCCGGGCCCCGCTGCGGCCGCTCATCCCGGCCCCGGGCGCTGCTGCCATGCGAGGCAGCCCCCGCCCAGGCCTGTTGAGCCCCGGGGCCGCCGCCGCCCCAGCCCCGCTCACCTGTGGGCGGCGGGCCCGCCGGCTCCCCCCGCTCCGTCCATCGCGGCCCCGCCGTTGCTATGGGCCCCCGCCGGCCGCTGCCCTTAGCAACGGCGCGCGGCACTGAGGCGCGCCGCCATTGGCCGGGGCCGCGAGCACGCCGCCCGCCGATTGGCCGCGGCAGCGCGCACGCGCGGCAGAACGCAAAGGCCGCCCCCGTGGCTCCGTGCGGGAGGCGCCCGCCGCCTCCGCCGGGAGCGGGGAACATTCCCGGCGGGAACCGCGTGCGGCACCGAGCCCTTGCCGGACACACGTCCCCAGGGAAGACCGCACCAAATGACCCCCCCACCCCCCCTTCCGTCGACCAAGATCCTCCCCCCGCCCGCTCCGGCGTTTGTCGGAGGCGCTGCCAGGCGCAGTAGAGGGCCGGGCTGAAATCAGGTCCCCTCTTAGCCCCCTGAGGGCCATCATCTGTCCGGGCGTGTCCTCGCACGCAGCGAGTCGCTGCTCCCGCCAGGTCAGGTGTGGGGCTGTCCCCTCGGGAGCTCCATGTTTGCCTTGACCAGGATGTCCGCAGCGCTCAGCTTCCCCTGCTCCCGCAGGTACTTCATTATGTGCGGCCGCCGCCGCCAGGTGACCTTCATTCCATACTCGTGCTCGGGAGTATCTGTAACCAGAACTGCCGCCTCCCCTCTCCCACAGGGATCAGTACCAAGTGGCAACGCTTCTTCTGGGTGCCAGGCGTGACTACTCGGTGATAGAGTGTTGCTGCATCTCCCGTTCCTTGGGGAAGGAACCTGTGCAGCCTCTGCATCTGATGGACTAGGGACTTCTTGCTCCACAGGCTGGGGAGCAGGCTCTCCACAGTCCTCTGGACTCTTCACCTGGATGTTGGCATTTGCTGCTGTCCCTTTCTTAGGCTGGTTGGGAGAGCACTGTGCATTCTTTCTCAAGCAATTTGGATCATCCGACGGAGGGACCGCATGTCCTTTTGGATTCTCAAAAGTTAAAGGAGGAAATCTGCAGGCTGCAGCTCCTCGTGCATGAAATGAGCTGTGGTTGGCATCCTGATTATAGGACTTCTGAGGACCACGATGCTTCTTCTGGCGTGCTTTCAACACCAGTGGCTTAGTTGTGTCAAATTGTGGGCACACCTGAAGGGAAAGACATAATAATAAGATAAAACCCCAACCCTTTCCTACAGACAATTCTACTTCCCCACCTTTTCCCAGTGTGTTCATTGAATAATCTGTTCTGCAGCAAAGCAAATGAGTCACTAACAAAGCTGCTATGCATGAGATGCCTCTGAACTTCAACAATATGTTCTGCCACTGTTCTGTGGAAAGTCATTGGGGTGCAAGTGAGCTGATCACTGTCAGCTCACAAAGAACTCAAGATTTGGGTTTTAAAGGAAGTCTAACTGGTGTCTTCTCCTGTAAACCCTGCAGATTTAAGAAAGTTCAGAATGGATCCTTTTTGTTTCTGTGTCTTAGCATAACTCAAATAGATTTAAAGAACTAAATCCTCAGCCATCCCAGAGAAGTAGAGGCTGAACAGGGAGAGCAACACAAAATGACTGAAGAATGCCCACTTAGCTCAATCCCCTTAGATTATGTTAATAGGGTGTTCAAAATCTTCCCCCCAAACATCTCTGTTTCAAAATAGAGTTAATTTGTGTATTGTGGAGGACAAGATCACCCAAAATCCACTTCTACAATCAGCTTCCTATAGAAAAGATGGTCCAAGCTCAACAGTCTATATTTCTTTGAATGATTCTGGACTCATACTCAAACCCTGGAAATCCTTTTATTACAGTGTTCTTTGAATCCTGGTTGTTAACAAAAAAGTCAGACTCTGTTTCAGATTCCAGTTTGCTTTTTCCAAGAGCACACCAAACTGAGTTCTTGCTACAGTAACTACACATCTCCTTCAGCATTCCTGAGTCACTGTATAGTTCCTAAAAACACTGAGTGCAATTTAACCAAGGATGGTGATTGTCTGATGTACAGCTGAACTGTTTGAATCCAAAGCCATTGTGCAGGAAAAGAGAAATGATTCTGTAGTAATTGTATACTGACACATACTTAAAATAGTCCCTGATTTTAAGTATATGCCTTCCTGGCTTCAGAGAACATGTAGGGAAGGTTTTACCTATGCAGGAACCTAGAAGTGGAAAAGGTGTGAAAAACTTAGATAATGCCAGAAAGAGAGGAGCAGAAAATCAGTTTCCATTGAAACAATTTGACAGACACTCTGCAGTGTCTGTCAAATTGTCAGAAGTTACAAACCTACCACATTTTCCAAACTGAAAAATATTTAACAGTTTCAGTACCAATAGCTTCAAACAAATTTTAGAATACTTGTGTTTTAGGAATCAAAGAGCAACCAGAGTGGATGTTTCCACCTCTTCCAAACAAAATGAGTGCTTATTCACAACAGTTATTTTACTTAGTGATTCACAAACTGAAGAGCTAACTGCCTCAAGCAGATAGAAAAAAAAATTTAAAGAGGAAAAAATTGAAGATGTCCTACTTCAAGGTTAAGGCATCACAAAAATACAGAGGAATGTTTCATGCAGGTCTGAAACCACACTTCCTGAGCTTGCTTTGTGAAGAGCAGAGCCAAGCAGCAGTAATGTTTAAACAGAGCTCCCCTAAGTGATGACTACTGTTGCATAGGAACAGTCTGTCTTTGCTGCAGCTGTTTGCTTTAAAAAAAATAAATCTTTACATTACATGACACAAGGAGTATTTTAGGACATGGCAAACAGTCCCAAGATAATGAACCTATCAGAAGATTGGTATGGAGAGAAACTACTCAAAACACAGAAATGGAAAGAGGGCAGGTTCTGAAGTGAAAACCTATGTTCTCTAAATTTAGCAGTGTCAGATTTAAACAATACACCCAATACTTTAACGTGTAGCGTTTAGAGTTCAGCAGTTATTTCAAACAGCAAGCCAATAAGAAAAATCTCCCCTAATGTTCATTTTGTGCAGGGTTTTTGGTTGCCAAGGAAAACAGTGTTTTCCTGATAGGAATAATTTTTCTAGAAGACAAATACTCATTAATCAGTAAACACTGCACACAGTTTATGTCTTCAACTAACCAAGACCTTAGTGCTTATTCTTGGAATGTAAAGCAACTCAAGCACTTATTTATGCTTTAGACTGATAGAGGGAATTCAGGTCTGGGCTAATAATTTTCCAGATCCAAAACAGATAACTTTCTGTTAAGACACACAGGAGCAACTGGAAAACTGTTGCTGTGGGACACAGGAGGAAAGATAATTTATACCAACCCAGGCAGCAGAGGTGTTCAGGTCCACACGTTTTGTAGGCACGCGTCTGGGATTCTCAGCCAAATGCAGTGGAGCTTCATAGCAATGGATGGGCCCTGCCCATGGCTGCTCAAGGAAAACCAGCTCTGCCTTCCTGGCCTTGTGGGTACACTTCTTCTTTGGAGGCATCAAAAGGTGTGGTAAAACTGCTTAGAAACCTCATGATGCTTGTTGGAGCCAATTGAAGAAAGAAGGAAGCACCCCGAGGAGATGCTAAAGTGCTCTTGAATCTGTAGAAGGCAAATAAATGGATTTGAAGAAAGACTTGTTTGGAAACCTCAGATGCAGTTTTTAACAAAAGCAAAACATTTATGCAACAGCACAGCGTACACATCTCAAGGCAGACTTGTTCCCAACAGTAGTTCTTGAACCTTTTGTCAGTTTTCAGGTGGATTTAGAAATGCACTGCAGGAATGGGAGCAGATGACCTACTGATCCAGCCATGTCAAATCAGCTATGAAAAGAAAAACCCAAAAACCTTATTTTCATTTTTTCAATTCAATCTTGCTTGTAATGCTAAGGGCTAAGATAATCATAACTCTTTCCCTTTCTGGTTGCCAACTATCTGTACATTTTAACTTCAAGAGACTAAGTTTGTTGTTTTTCTTTTTTACAAAACACAGTTGACATCTCCCTCCTGTATTCTACACATCTTGCATGATTTGTTTGCTTTGCCTAATGAATGAGTTTGAACTGAAGTAACATTGTATTTCATTTTCTGTTGGAAAACACATCACAGAATCAATTAGGTTGAAAGACCTCTCAGATCATCAAATCCACCTTTAGCTGGACACCACCATGACAACTAGACCATGGCACTAAGTGCTACACTTTAGGGACAGTGACTCCACCTCCCTGGGGAGCCCATTCCAATGTCTAATCACCTTTCCTGTGAAGAACTTCTTCCTAATGCCCAACTTAAGCTTCCCCTGGTGCAGCTTAGGATGATTTTCTCTTGTTCCATCACGGGTGTCTGGGAGGAAAGGCCAATCCCCATCTGGCCACAGCCTCCTCTCAGGCAGCTGTAGAGAGCAATAAGGTGCCCCTGAGCCTCCTTTTCTCCAGGCCGAACACCCCCAGCTGCTCCTCATGGGACTTGTGCTCCAGACCAGCTCTGCTGTCCTTCTCAGGACCCACTCCAGCACCTGACTGTCGTTCCTGATGTGAGGGGCCCGGAACAGGACACGGCACGGTGAGTGCCCCAGCAGTGCGGAGGAGAGAGGAACAATCCCTGTCCGGTCCCGCTGCCACGCTATTGCTGATACAGGCCATGTGCCCCCGGCCTTCTTGGCCACAGCTGGCTCGTACTCGCCCAGCCTGACTTACCGTAGATCAGCACGCACAAGGAAACTTGATAACATTTCCTGAGCAATGTATGAGATTGCAACAGCCTGACCGCTTACCGAAGTGCGGCGTGCTCAGGGGGTGCTGCGGGCCCCGCCAGCCCGCTGCAGCCGTGACACACTCGTTAAACAGTAATACCCCGCAGCTCTTCACCGGGAGTCAGCGCGCTGCCGGCGGCCCGGCGGGGCTCCCAGCCGAGGGCAGCATGGTTGAAGGAAGCTGCCGGCACTACCCCAGCCGGGTCCGCAGCGGCCGGCCGGGGACAGGGCCGAGCTGGACAACGCGATCGATGCGGCAGCGGCGGCGGCCCGGGCTCTGTCCCGCCCGCACATCCGTATCCCCCGCCGCCGCCGCCGATTGGCCCGGCCCGCCGCGGCCACGCCCCCTGCGCGCCGATTGGCCCGGCCCGGCCGGCCCCGCCCCCGCCGCCGCTCACTGGCGCAGGCCGGCACGTGACAGGGCCAGCGCCGCGCCGGGCGCCAAATTCAAACCGAGGCCGCGCCGGGAGCGCCGGGGCCGCCGCCACAGCCCTGCATCGGCCCTGCCCCGGCCCGGCAGCTGGTGAGTCCCGACCGCAGCCCGCCGCCATCCTCCGGGGACCCTGGCAAGGGTCGGCACCCCTCGGCGGGCCGCGCTAAGGCCACCGCGCGGGCGGGAGAGGGCAGCCTGGGCCCGGCCGGGGCGGCAGGCCCCGCGGGAGCAGGTAAACCCGCTGGCCGGGGCGGCAGCGCAGGGGCTGCAGCGGGGGAAGCAGGAGCTGGGAGCGCTTTGGCGCTGCCCTCCGTCCGCCCTCGGGCAGCGCGCACACAGCGGTGCCCCGGGCCCCTGCGGGGGTAGCAGATCGGGGCCTCCCTGGGAAGTGACGCGCTCCTGTTCCTGCTCGCGGGAACGCAGCCTGCGGGAGGCTGGCGCAGGGCTCTTCCTTCGGCGCTGCCTCTCCTTAAGGGGGTGGAGCAGATCGCAGAGGGCCATGCTTGTGCCGGCTGCCAGAACCCGCGTGGAATGATCGCCGGGCTGGCTGCTCCCTGTGCGCAGGGCATCAGCTCAGCTTAGCTTCTTATCTGCTGGACTCTGCTTTGTATCAATGTGGGGGATTCGTACTGAGAATTTGCTCGTTTACCTGCTGACCCCGTCGAATCTACCAATGCAAAAGGCCTCTTTTTTCTTGTCATTTGTTTCTATTCTGCTTGCCATCTCTAATGATAAACAATAAGTACCATTTATATGTTGTTCAGGTATAGTTTGCAGAAAAGCACAGACTGTACCGAATTCCTGATGGCATTATTAGCAGTATTCTCACAGCAACTTACCCTGGAAGCAGTATCTCTGAATTTTATTTCCTCTGCTTCCAGCTTTATAGTCTAAACCACCTCTTATCCAAAAGTTTGGCATCTAAATTGTGATCAATCTAAATTGCTGATCAATGATGAATTTACGTGGTTCTGAATAAATCTATGAAATTAATTAGCAGCACATTTACTTGGTGTCTATCTTTAAGCATCTTACTTTTGCTGCATTTATTGTGTGCATACCTTACACATTTATTCTGTGCCTTTGTAGTGTTCAGGGTAATCTCTGCTTCCCAGGTCTTAAACTATCTGCAAGTTCCCTTTTCATGCAGGTTGTGTAATCTGCTGCTCAGAGCAATCAACTGTAAGGATCAACACTGCTATTTCTATATTCTACCTCCCCTCCAGCTTGCTGGCTGACGCTGGTCACATTATAGCTAAGTCTTTCTGTAAAGCACATACACACTTTGCTCATTATAATGTACTTTGTGATGCAAGTTATCTACTCTGCACATCTCTCTCCCATCCTGCTTACACAACGTGTGGGTTAGGGAGGTACAGAATGATTTTTTTAATAGCCTTATCAGCCTTACTAAATGCTTTCAATTTTAATTTCCCTTTTGTGTTTCTAGCTTTGTAGCAACTGCTGAGAATGTGTGCTCTGTGGGAGGTCTTGAGATGATTTGCTGCAGCCTTTATGTTGTACCTTTTGTTTTGCAGGATTTGTTCCTCTCCCTTTCAATGGAGAGTGACAGTATAGACCAATAATGAGGACCAGCCCTCGCAGGCCCTTAATTCTCAAAAGACGAAAACTGACCCTCCCACAGAACGATGAATCCAGTACTTCAGCGAGAGATGAGAACAGAGGTCAGGAGCCAGAAAAGGCTCCTAAGCAGGAGCACAGACAGGAAGACCAGCACAGCAGACAACCCAGAGACAAAAGGGACTGTGGCCTGCAGAAATTCCCAGCAGGAATAAAGATAATTGACCACCCTACAATGCCCAACACCCAGGTGGTGGCCATTCCTACAAATGCTGATATCCAGAGCATCATAGAGGCATTGACAGCAAAAGGAAAAGAGTGTGGCAACAATGGACCCAACAAGTTCATTCTCATTAGCAGTGGGGGCACATCCCGCTCAGCTGGTCCAGCACCATCGCAGCACCTCCCCTCAGAGAAGAAAGCCAGTGCAGCCATCAAGGCTGCAGTTAGCCAAGAAAGAGAGAAGAATGTTGCACAGACACCTGGTCTTGCAGGCAGTACAGCGCTCTGGCATTCAGGAGTTGATCCTGTGGTTGGACAGGAGCAGGAGACCAACAGTATGTAGCCTTTACCTGTTTTTTTTGCCTTGGCAGACGAAGAGATGTGAAATGGGCCAAGGAGTGCAGCACTTCCATCTTGGTTTGCAGTAATTATTATTTTGTTAATTACAAAATACCTGTGGATTGGATTCTAATAATCTACATAGCTTTGCATATGTAGTGAAATCTGAAGGATTACAGTGGACATTTTTTGGGTGGAAGACATCTGAGCTTCTGACTTAAGTTTTGTGCTTTCTATTTCTTGAAGTACTAGATCAACATTGTCCTGTTTCGGTTGACAGTAGTCTGGTTTAAGTGTTCTTTAGGCTGTAGCTCTTTTCAGAAATTGGTCAACTACACATGAAATCAGGAATTCGAGGTGAATTCCTTCCACAATATTAGAGTTGCAATACCATCTTTTACAGTGTGACTGGTGCCTTCCTTTTGACAGCTGAGATGAGGGCGTAGCTGGGTTACTTGTGGGAAAGCAGGGTTATGACGAGGGGAAGGCTGTAGCCTACCTGGGCTTGAGTAAAGCCTTTGGCACTGTCTCCCACAGCATAATTCTGGAAAAGCTGGCAGCCCCTGGCTTGGTCAGGTTCACTCTTCACTGGGTTAAAACTGGCTGGATGTCTGGGCCCAGAGAGTGGTGCTCAACAGTGCTGCATTTGACTGGTGACCAGTCTCTGGTGGGGTTCCCCAGGGCTGGGGCCAGTCCTGTTCCCTCTGGATATCAGTGATCTGGATCAGGGGGTCGAGGGCATCCTCAGTAAATTCACAGATGACACTGAGCTGGGTGGGAGTGTGGATCTGCTGGAGGGCAGGAGGGCTCTGCAGAGGGACCTGGACCGGCTGGATCCATGGGTCAAGGCCAATTGCGTGACGTTCAATAAGACCAGGTACCAGGTCCTGCAGTTGCATTGCAACAACCCCAGGCAGTGTTACAAGCTGGGGGAAGAGTGTCTGGAAAACTGCCCAGCAGGAAAAGACCTGGGGGTACTGGTCGACAGCAGCTGAACATGAGCCAGCTGTGCACAGGTGGCCAAGAAGGCCAATGGCACCTGGCCTGTACCAGCAATAGTGTGTCCAGCAGGACCAGGGCAGAGATTGTCCCCCTGTACTTGGCACTGGTGAGGCCACACCTTGAGTTCTGTTTTCAGTTTTGGGTCACTCATGTCAGGAAAGACATGGAGGTGCTGGAGCAAGTCCAGAGAAGGACAACA